GCCATGGGATCAGCCCCCAATGATCCCCCTTTCACTCGGGAAGGGGGAAACCCCGCAGCTCCCCACACCCCCCATTTTTGGCATCTTATGGGGTGTGTAGCAGATGGAGAGATGGACTGAGAGTGACTGCTCTGTGGGCATCCCAACAACACCCAAAGGTGGCAAAAGGGACCAGGGTGCCTGGCTGGAGGCTTTGGGTGAGTGACCCCCAAGCCCACTGCCCCCTCACCCCCTGTCCCAGTGCCCATCCCACCACCAGGTGTTAATTACCAGCAGCTCGTCTGTAATTAAAGCTCTCCAGTGACGGGAGCTGACGACTCAATATCAAACTGCTGCAATTAAGGCCATGAGGGCTGTGCAGGGAGCGAGGGGCAGGGACACCCTGGAGGGGACACCCTGGAGGAGCCACCCTGGCACCCGTGCAGGGCTGGGGGGCACGGGCAGGGGCACGGCGGGGGCTGCACAGCCGGGGCGCAGCGATCTTGCAAATATTGTATTGCTCAGTCACTACCAAGGGTTAAAACCAAACCGAGGGCACGGAGGAAGGCGTCTTCCCAGAAGACAGATCAGCGTGTCCTCGCTGCAGGAGGACACGGCAGAGCGGCGGATGCCGCCATCGGAGCTGCTGCCCCGCTCCGGGGTCGGGGGTCCCTGGGCCCCAGGGGAGGGGGTCCGTGGGGAAAGGCACGAGATGAGGTGATGGCCGTGGGGCAGAGCAGGCGTTCGCTGAGGGGACCCCAGAGCCGGGCCGGTGGCCGGTGGGGCAGTGCCGGGGCGTGGCAATCCCAGCGCAGGAGCTCTCGGCAATCCCGACGTGCGGCGCTGCGATGGCCCTGGGAGGGAGAGAGCCCCGTCCAGGGATGCTTGAGGGCAGCACGCAGGTGCTCACCCAGTGCCCCAGAACCTCCACTGCCCCTCACCTTCCAGCCCGGAGCTCCCGGCCCCAGCTCGGCTTTGCGGAGGTCCAGCAGGCGGGTCATGGCCTGGGGCTGCCCCACGGGCTCGGGGGTTTGGCTGGGAGGAAGAGTCTGGAAGCGGCGTTGGGGCAGAGGAGCCCATCCCCCCGCAAGGGGCAGCGCCGGGGTCAGATCCAGAGCAGGGCCAGGAGCGCGAGCGTCAGGCATGGGGTGCAGGGCTGTGATGGGAGCGCGGTGCCCCGGGCAGGAGCCACATCTGCCGGGGCAGAAGCAGCGGTCAGGGCGAGCCGGTTCCCGACCTCCCAGCCCCGCCCCCGTACTCACCTTCGGGGCCCCCGCGCCCTCGGGGCTGCGAATTCGGCACCTCTGTCACCGGCTCTGGCGCTGAAAAAAAACCCCACGGTGGTCAGGGAGCGGCTCCCGTGGGTTACGGGGAGGCTCCGGTATCCCCCAGTGGGGACTGGTGGAGCCCCCGAGGTTTGGGGAGCAGCCCCCCCGCCGGACTCACTGGTGCCTCGGCAGCAGACGGTGACGCGCAGCTTCAGGCATCGCCCGGCGCTCTCGGGGCTGGGCACGGCTGGGCAGGGGGGGTCAGCGGGGACCGGCTCCGGTGCAGCCCCCCCGGGACCCCCCGACGGCGGCTCCGCGCGGGCCGGGGGCGCCCCCTCCCGGCGGAACGCGGGGACCGCGCCCCCACCCCGGAGCGCGCAGAGCCCCCCCCGCACCGGGGACACCCAGAACAGGGACACCCCGAAACAGGGAACACCCCAAAACAGGGAACACCCCGAACCGGGGACACCCAGAACAGGGAACACCCCGAACCGAGGACACCCAGAACAGAGAACACCCAGAACAGGGACACCCAGAACAGGGGACACCCCGAAACAGGGAACACCCCAAAACAGGGAACACCCCAAACCGGGGACACCCAGAACAGGGAATACCCCGAAACAGAGACATCCCGAACCAGGGACATCCAGAGCCCCCCCCGCACTCCGAACCGGGGACACCCAGAACAGGGAACACCCCGAAACAGGGACAACCCGAACCAGGGACACCCAGATCCCCCCTTGCACCCCGAACCGGGGACACCCTGACCCCTCGTGCCCCCCGCTAGAGCACCAAGAGCCCACCCTGCATCCCGAACTGGAGGCACCCTGAACCAGAGACACCTTGAACCAGGGACACCTCGACCCCTCATGCCCCCACCCTGGAGCCTCCAGAGCCCACCCTACACCTCGAACCGGGGGCACCCCGACCCCTCGTGTCCCAACCCCGGAGCACCCAGAGCCCACTCTGCACCCCACCTCCCCACACATCCCCCATCCCAGGGCATCCAGACCCCACCTACACACCCTGATCCCCTTGTGCCTCCCTCCAAGGGCATCCAGAACCCCTCTGCACCCCACATCTCCATGAACCCCCACCCCAGGGCATCCAGAACCCCTCTGCACCCCACATCTCCATGAATCCCACACCCCAGGGCATTCAGACACCCCCTGCATCCCCATCCCCTCGTGCCCCCACCCCTGGGACACCCACAGCCTCCTGCACCTCAGCCCTGGCATCACCCAGAGCCCCCGTGTTCTCCTCAACCTCAGTGACATCCTGGCTGTACCCTGACCCCCCACTCGCCCTAAACTCGGCTCCATGGGGATCCTGGTGACCCCCAACCCTGGGGAGCTGCACTCAAGCCCCCCTGACATGTTCTGACCCCGGGGACCGCACCCAGCGTGCCGTGACCGCAGCGCAGCCCCCGCGGGGACTCACAGATGTAGTAGTAGGTCTCCCCCGGCTGGAACTCGAAGCCGAGTGAGAAAGGGGTGAAACGCTGGATCTTCTCGGAGAATCGGACGGGCCCGAAGGGCGCCCGGGGCCGGTTGCACTCCCAGCGCTTGAAGGCGCCGGGGGTCTCGTAGCAGCCGCGATAACCCTCCCGATCCACCATGAACAGCGTGAAGGTCTCTGCCCGGCCGGCGGGCACCGCCCCCTCGTAGTGCGGGCAGTAGATGTCCAGGTAGTCATTGATGGCCACCTGGATGGAGTAGTCGTCCCGCAGGAACCTGCCGGGCAGGACAAGCCGGGGATCCCTTGAGAGGGGTGCCCTGCTGCCCCAGCGGAGCAGGGAGCTGGGCTTTTCCCAAAAAAGCCCCGATCGGACACCGCCAGGCATCATCTCGGATTAGCCGCAGGCCGCTGGAGCTGAATGGGCTCGGGGGGGTTTGTGCAGCCGCGCTGGCCGGGCACAAAGCCCCTCGCCCCAGGCAGCCGCCCGGCCGCTGATCGGACATGACACGGCGGTGGGGGACCTTGCCGAGGGACGCTCCGGGGCTGGCAGGGGGTGGTGGCCGGGGCAGGGGGCACGGGGCGGGCAGGGCACGGGGGCAGCGCTGGGGATGCTCTGAGCTCGTGGTTGTGCCGACGGCAAGCGCGGCCAGGCCGGGGTGGAGCAGCTGTGCAAGCACACACGCGTGTGCACGCACACATGAACGTGCACACGCGTGTGAACACGCTTGGTCCTGAGCGTCTGGGGCTGGTGATGGAAAAGGGGCGCTGGCAGGGAGACCTTGTCCCCCACACTGGCCCCAGTGCAGCCGGTGTTCACAGACAGTTCTGGCAGAGTCCAGAATGTTCATCACTGGGATGGCAGCGCTGGCAAGGGGGGATTGAACCCCTGACACCCCACTCAGGCTGGGGGCTCCCCGAGGGCAGGATGGAGCACAGACTCCTGCTGACTCAGAGCATCCCACGGGTGACGCTGGCTGGGACGGGCCTGGGCAGAGCCAGGGCAGGGGGACGGGGCCCTGCCTGACCCAGCAGAGGGGCACACAGAGCCCCCCTTCCCGGGGCATCCATGGCTGGTGGGGTCTCACCTCTCCCATCAACAGGATGGGAGCAGGGCAGCGTCTGCACGCCCAGCCCTGCCCATCATGTGCCAGTCTGCCCCAGGGCAGCAGGCCCAGAGCCCAGGACCTCCATGGGGAGGCCCCAGCATCCTGACCCTGCCTCCTGCTCCCTGAGAAGCCCGGAGCTGGGAAATTCCTAAAATGGAGGAGGTTGGGAAGAGGGATGGAGCCAGACCCTGGCCTGCTGGTGACAGCCAAGCTCCCAGGCAGCAGCAATGGCAGGGTGTGGGCTGGAGTGACCCCCACCAGGGAAACCCACAGCCCCAGGAGTGCCACCCACCAGCCTGGTGCCACGAGAGGATGCCCAGAGTTCAGTGCCACCAAGGGCGCGTTCAGGCTCAGCACAAGTGGGTACCACCGGCAGACTGGCAGCACCAGGACTGCCCACCAGCTCGGTGCCACCAAGGGCTTGGTGCCACCAGGAGTGCCCACTGGCCTGGGGGCAACCAGGGCTGCCCATGGTGAGGGAACACCCAGAGCTTGGTGTCCCTGAGGGAGACTCACGAGCAGGATGCCAGCCGGGGCTCAGTGCCACCGGCAGTGCCTGGGGCTAAGCACCACCCAGGTGTGCTCGCTACCCCGGTGGCACCCAGGGATGCCCAGTGGCTCGGTGTCACCGGGGGTGCTCAGGGCTCAGTGCCCCCCGTGGGCACCCTGGGGTCGGTACCAGCTGGGGCACTTACCGGCTCTGCACTGCCCAGGGCTCGGTGCCACCGGGGGTGCCCGGTGCTGCTCAGAGCTCAGCACCCCCGGGGGTTCTCACCCGCCCCACAACGCCCAGGGCTGCCCGGTGCCTCGGTACCACCGGGGGCTCGGTACCACCGGGAGGCACCACCCGGGGCTCGGTGCCGCTGGGGATGCCCGGGGGCTCGGCGCACGGGGGGCCGCTGGCCCGCTCGGCATTACCTGGGGGCTCGCTGCTGCCGGGGATGCCCGGGGGCTCGGTCCCACCGGGAGGCGCTCCCCGGCTCAGTCCCGCCCGGTGGCCCGGTGGCCAGCAGCCCCGCCCCCCCGGAGCCCACCGCCCGCCGCCCCTCCCGTCCCGTCCCGTCCCGTCCCGTCCCGTGGCGGCGGCGCGGGCCCGGGGCTCGGCGGGGCCCGAGGCTCGCTGGGGCCCGGGGCTCGGCGGGCCCGGGGCGTACAAAGGCGGCGGGGCCGGCGGGGGCGGCGGCGGTACCTGGGGTTGCTGCCGTTCCAGTGGACGCCGTGGCGGAAGCCGCGCACCGGCGGCGCCCAGAGCAGCGGCGCCCAGAGCAGGAGCCCGAGCAGCGGCGCGGGGCGCATGGCTCCGCCGGCGGCGGGGGGCGGCGGGGGGCCGCGGGCGGGGCGGCCCGGCGGGGCTCGGCACGGCCCGGCCCGCCCCGACAACTTCGGGCCAATCCCGCCGCGCCGCCGCCCGGCAACTTCACCGACTGCCATTAACCCTTGGCGGGCGGCACCGGCACCCACCGGCACCGGCACGGCCATCGAGACCGGCACCGACACCGGTAACTGCCCAGCGGCCGGTACCGCCGGCATCCAGCGGCACCGGCACCGGCACCAGCGGCCACGCCCCAGTCCGGCACCCCCGGTACCGCCAACATCCACCGGCACCGGTATCCCTGGCAACTCCCCGGTAGCTCTCTTAGCCCGACACCGAGCCGGTACCGTGAATATCGACCGGCACCGGGACCAACACTGCCCGGGCTTGTGGGCTCAGCATCCCTGGCACCGGCACCCCTGGCATCCATCGGCACCGCCCCTGGCACCGGCAGCTCCGGCCCAGTCTGGCTCCCTGTTTAATCCCAGCCGAGCTGGCACCGCCCCGGTACCGGCACCGGCAGCGCCGGCTGCCCCCCGCCCTTACCGGGACGGCAGCCACCGGTACCGGCACCGGCCGGGCCCTGCGGGCACGGGCAGATCCCGCGGGGCATCTCTTGCACACGCGGGGCTGTGCCCACGTGTACCCATGCACATGGGACGGTTCTTGCACACGCGTGTGCCCATGGTGGTGGCAGCTGCTGGCCACATGTGTCCCTGCCCACCTGGCAGCTCTTGCACACCTGTGTGTGTCTGCACACACGTGTGTTCACGTGTGACAGCTCCTGCTCACGTGTGACACCTGTGACCAAGCCTATAGGGCAGCTCTTGCACATGTGTGTGTGTGTCCCCAGAGCAGCTCCTGCACACACATGTGCTCAGGTGTGACAGCTCCTGCTCACGTGTGACGCCCGTGTCCCTGCCCACCAGGCAGCTCTTGCACACTCGTGTGCCCAACATGCTCACACTCACACGTGTTCCTGCCACATCTGTGCCCACCCAGAGCAGCTCTTGCACACCTGTGCCTGTGCAGGTATGGGTTTCCTGACCTGCATACACATGTGCTGAGCACACAGGGCAGCTCTTGCACACGCGTGTGTCAGACACACAGGGCAGCTCTTACACACACACGTGCCCATGAGTGTGTGGCAGCTCCTGCCAATGTGTGTTCCTGCCTGCAAGGCAGCTCCTGCACTCACATGTGCCCATGAGTGTGCCCACAGGGCAGCTCCTGCACACACGTGTGTGTTTGTGGCAGCCCCTCTTCACTCGTGTGGCCATGCACACATGGCAGCTTTTGCACACTTACACATCTGTCTGCCAGGCAGCTCTTACACACACACAGACATACCTGTGCCCCTAACGCAGCTCTTACACACACACACCTGTGCCCACACAGACTGAGCAGCTCTAGCACACACGTGTGCCCAAAGAGCAGCTCTCACACACTCGTGTGCACAAAGAGCAGCTCTCACACACTTGTGTGCACAAAGAGCAGCTCTGGCACACTCGTGTGCCCAAAGAGCAGCTCTCATACACTCGTGTGCACAAAGAGCAGCTCTGGCACAATCGTGTGTCTATGGAGCAGCTCTTACACACTCATGTCCCTAAAGAGCAGCTGTCACACACGTGTATGCCCATGGAACAGCTCTCACACATGCGTGTGCCCAAGGAGCAGCTCTCACACATGTGTGTGCCCATGGAGCAGCTCTTATACACTCATGTCCCTAAAGAGCAGCTCTCACACACTCGTGTGTCCACCAGGCAGCTCTCATATACTCGTATGCACAAAGAGCAGCTCTCACACACGTGTATGCCCACGGAACAGCTCTCACACATGCGTGTGCCCACAGAACAGCTCTCACACACTCGTGTGCACAAAGAGCAGCTCTCACACACTTGTGTGCCCACGGAGGAGCTCTGGCGCACACACACAGACACATACACATACACACACACATACACACGCACACACACACACACGCACACACACACACGCACACACGCACACACAGACAGACAGACAGACACACACACACGCACACACAGACAGACAGACAGACACACACACACACACACACACACACACACACACACACACACACACACACACACGCACACGTGCCCACTCGCGTGTGTCCCCCCGTGTCCCCGCCCGTGCCCACGTGGCTCCCGGACACCGCCCCCGCTGCAGCTGCGCGCAGTCCCCGCCAGGGGGCGGCGGCGCTCGGAGCCCCGGTTCCGGCGCGGGGCCTGCCGGGAGTTGTAGTTCCGCCCCGCTCCCCCCTCCCCCCGGTGCCGGTCGCGGTGCCCCGGTGCCGGTACGGCGGAGGCAGCGCAGAGGCGGCTCACAGCCCCTTTATTGACGTGGCAGGAGAAAGAGCGAGCGGCGCGGCCCGGCGGGGTTCGGCCTTCCCCGCGAATCCAGCGCTGCGCATTCTCTGCCCGCGGCTCAGGCCTCTGGCGGGGCCGGGGCGGGCCTGGCAGGAGAAGGGAGGGCGCTGGGGTGAGGGTGGGGCCCGCACAATTTCCCCCTGCAGCTCCCCCCGTCCCCTGCTCTGCATCCCCACCCTGACCCTCTCCTTTCTCCTCCTCCGCTCTGTTCCGGCCCCTCATTTCTCCTGGCTACCCCTTCTCCCCAACCCGCACTCCCCTCAGGACACTGCAGGGCCCCATCCTGGCACCCCGCATCGCCCCCTCACACCCCCATCGCCCCCTCACACCCCCATCGCCCCCTCAAACTCCCCATTGCCCCCTCACACCCCCATCGCCCCCTCACACTCCGCCGGAGCTCCCTCACACCCTACATCGCTCCCTCACACCCCACATTGCCCCCTCACACCCCGCATCGCCCCTCACACTCCCCCGGAGCTCCCTCACACCCCCATCGCCCCCTCACACCCCGCATTGCCCCCTCAAACTCCTCATCTCCCCCTCACACTCCCCATCTCCCCCTCACACCCCCACAGAGCTCCCTCACACCCCCATCGCCCCCTCAAACTCCCCATCTCCCTCTCACACCCCACATCTCCCCCTCACACTCCCCATCGCCCCCTCACACCCCCCGGAGCTCCCAGCCATCCCGTGCTCACCTGGCAGGGATCACGGTGACATAGGGGTGCCCTGGGGGGCTCTCGCTGCGGGACACCGAAGGGCCCACGGGGTCCGAGGGCAGCGGCCGCTGCGGTGGGGGGGGCTTGGCTGGACCTGGGGGCTGCAAGGCCATGGGGGGGTCAGAGCTCGGTGAGGGGCTGATCCCCGATGGGCTCGGTGGTGGAAATCGGCCTCCTGCCCCACACGCAGGTGCTGCTGCCGTTACCTGAGTGCTCAGCAGCACAGGGTCTGCGGGCAGCGGGCGTGTGGGGGGGGGCGGCCTGTCCGAGGGGGGGGCCTGGGCAGAGAGAGAGGGACAGTGTGACAGCGGGGGACAAGTGGGGGAGCGCGGGAAGCGGCCTCCCGCTGGGCTGGAGGGGTTTGGGGACAGCCGTGTCACACAGGTCCCTGAGAGCTGGAGCGCAGCCAGACATGCAGCGGGTCCGGGGTGGGCTGGGGGGTACCCCCCGCCCTGCCCGGGCATTACCTTGGGCACAGGGTCCGGCGGGAGAGGCCGGGAGGGCGGATCAGGCCGGGCTGAGCCGAGGGCAGCCGGCTGCGGAGAGAGGGAGAGGGGGGGCAAGCCATGCAGCATGCGGAGACCCCCCTCCCGCCAGGCAGAGACAGAGACCCCCCCTCAGTGCACAGCCCTGGCTGGGACGGGCTCCAATCCCTGCTGTGCCAAGTGGCCGTGCCAGGCTGCTCCGCGTGCCAAGGAATGGGATCCCACATGTGGGATGCTCTGAGCTGGCACCCCAGGACCAGAGAGAACTGGGCACCCGCTACCCCCATCCTCACCTTGCTGCCATGCATGACCTGCAGCTCCGTGGCCTGCCGCCACTGTGGGGGCCGGGGACGTGCAGGGGGACCTTGGCTGCTGCCCGGTGTGGGCTCTGGCTGTGAGATCCTGCAGGGAAAACCCAGGATGAGACCCTGCTCGCTCTGGGCGTTTGGGGGACCCCGCACGGCCACCGAGCGACACCGACACCAGCAGAAGCCCAAGAGAAACGAACCCCTCGGCGCTGGAAGATGCGACACCCCGCACCCCGGGGCTGCCCCGCACCCCACGGGCACTGCCAGGGGAAGAGCGCAGCACCGGAGGCCTTGCGAAGCAGGACGGCTCGGGGACAGCCCCACGCCCGGGCGCCGGCGGTGACGTTACCCGCTCCAGCCGTCTGCGGCTCCGGGACCCAGGAACCGCACCCGGGTCTCAGCACTGTGGGGAGAAGAGTGGGGGGCTCAGCCGGGGGCTGGGGGGCGAGAGGAGCCGCGGGGATGTGGGGTGACGGGGCTGTGACCTGCGCTGGGGACGCACAAACACACACAGGGACGGTCGCTCTGTGGGGACACTTGTGCACCACGCTCGGGCGGCCACCACGGGGGACACGTGTGTGTGTGTGCTCACATGCCAGGGAACACGCATGCAGGATTGAGCGTGCCAGCTGCGTGCCACATGCAGAGGTGGGCGTGCCACCTGTGTGTCGCAGCACGCGTGAGCAGAGTCGAGCAGGCCGCTGATGCACCACGGCGAACGCGTGCAGAGGTGTCGTGTGCCACCTGCGTGCCTTGGCACACACGTGCAGAGGCCAGCGTGCCATCTGCATGACACGGCACACGCATGCAGAGAAGGGTTGTGTGCCACCTGCGTGTCACAACACACACGTAGAAGTGCGTGTGTCACCCGTGTGTCACGGCACACGCATGCAGAGGTGAGCATGGCAGCCGCGTGCCACCGGTGTGCCTCGGCACGTGCATGCAGAGGCGAGCGTGCCAACACCCACGTGCCCACCACGTACCCCCAATGTGCCCCCCACGTGCCCCCCTGTCCCTGGTACCTGTACTGGCAGGAGGTGCCTTTCCCAAGCTGGCAGAGGCGCTTGTGCAGGCCGGCA